CAAATGTAATTTGTAGAAATTTAGGTACTTAAATGTTTAAATTTTCATGAGAAGAATATACTACCTGTCATGTAAGGGGGATATATTTTTCCCCACAGACAAATGAGGGGAAAAGGGACATAGACCTATGACTATACATAACCTGTGCGTCTATTTTTCACAGACCACCCAGTCTTCTTTTCGCACGTATTTGAATATTTATAATTTGCAATTAATGCAAAATTAATTTCAAAATTTTGATGCAACTTCGCATTGCGAGTCATGTTGTAGTACTGCTAATCGCCATTCTTTATAAGTGCTTAGTGCATCCTACACACTTTACATTTTGAAAATGGTACACATTTATGATTAAAAAAATGATTTCAGAATCATATTGGCTAACGATGTTTCATAACCTTTCATTGATTCATTCAAGCTTACATTTGTAACGTTACTGGCTCTTCTGTTGACAACGAAATGCTTACGACGCATTAGTCTCTCTTGCCAACAGGTGAATTTATCAAGGACAAAAAAGGCGTGACATTCTGACATTCACAACGTACAAAAAAGTAGTATTTGGTACCGTTAACACAGATTTGCAGATTTGTCAATATGTGCCAAAATGTCTTGATATATTTCGCAAACATATTATCTTATTGCAAAGTTTACATGTTGTCAAAATATACAACTCTGAATAGAGAAAAACGTCAGGGCCTCCATCTCGTTGGGACGAGAGTGTACATTCACCGCGCGCCCCGCCTTCGTCCCAGCGTCGTCTTATTTTGCAGCAAATCTGCCCTGTTCGACACGCAAGCATATTATGAGCATGAATCAATATCGCTCGCTCATTTCTCCCCAGACTGCTCATGACAATGTATAATATCATTGAATTTTATTGACCGGTTCCGCATGTATATGAGAGCTAATGTACGGCATCCACGTAGGGCCGGGAATCCCGGAGACAGCTCGGCGTTCGCAGAAACGAGACTGCGATATAGGCATCGACTGAAACGAGAGTGAGTGATAGATCGACTGCGAGAAGTGAAACTTGTGCTCGATTTTCAATCTGGCATATCTCTGAGATCGGACAAGCGGACACGTCGTACATTTGCCCGGAGATAAAATAGTGTCACGAGAGCCTACGTATGGTGCTCGACATCTGGCTGGAAACTACCTACTTCTTTTGCTGCGAATTCGAATTAAAAAAGTTAATGCGACATTTTGCGTAACTGCTTCCATGCGTGTTCCGATCCAATTAACGACTTGAGAAGTGAATAAGTCGAAGTATGTTGTCAGAATATTTTTTTCTTTCGGGAGACTGCAGAGTACGTTTAACAAGTATAGAGATCGATTCTGACAACTTAGATTTTCAGATATCTGAATTGGAAAGAATTGAACGGCGTGCAACCTTCAAGTGCATATAACTTTTCAAATAAACTGAATTGCTCTAAATGTAGTAATTATTATGAAAAGAAATAAAATTCTCATTTTACGGGTATATTTTTCAACTAAACATGTTGCCTAGCCTGATTTTTAACATGGAACACAAACATTTTGGCTATTAATTTAATAAGCGCGTGCTGATGCAAAACATAATTTAATTACTTAATCATGAACACGCTATTTAAAAAGTAAAGTACCCTCCCTTTTTTCAAAATTATGGATACTAATACTTTTGTGAGGTGGAGGGGAAAAGTATTCATACCTCAACATTACGATCTCGGCTTTTCGACCATAAAATCTGCCCCCCCCCCAGCTCCTCCGCGATTAAGGTTTTTCTGATTTGTAACTTTGCTCACTCGCCAGCATTAAGATCTGTTAGAGCTGTTATAAAGAAGGTTAATATTTATGTAAGTGGCTTTACGATTCACGCAACTTTGTGCCATGAGAGCCCGCAGAACGCGATGTTGTATCTGTGTAAGATGGATGGACGTAAGTGTCACGCGTAACTGTCAGATTAGAAGCTTTTGAGCTGAAACTTATTAAATATTCCAAGCGTAGTTGTGCTGTTTCGGGGAGAATTAAAATAATTTAATTTTCGAGGGCACGTTACATGGCGCTCCTGTAGCATGTTCGTTTCTATCGAAACATTGATATTTTGAAAACATCATCATGGATGACGCATCCCTATCCAGGTGGTGAGAGCACGAGTCCCCACCACCTCTGAGCGCTTTTTTAACGCAGATTGCTTAGTTTATAGTTCCTTAAGTTCTCCATAATACCAAAAAATTATCCAATTCCTTGACCAACATTGTAGATATGTAGTTCATTTGCTATGTGAAACGAAAAAGAAAATATAACAACACAAGACCTGATCAATGATGAAAAGAGACATCACTATAGAAGTGTTTGAGATGTGGTTTGTGAAGCCGTGGGAATATCACTACAAATCACAGACAAGAGCTCAACTATTTACAGGTTCATTTACAAAATTATTTACAGGCAATAATTTAACTTATCTATGTACAGCTCTGGTAGACAGTTCCATGAGCGACCGCTAACTACTTGCAATCGATTGCCTGACTCTCGCCACTGACCAAATTCTTACGCACAGAGCGCACCACCAAGTGGCCATGTTCCTAACACTTCTTAAACTGGCACGTCAGTGATCTCCTTCTTAACGTATTTCCGTATGGGTCTAAACTGCCGGGAGCCGATCAGGCCGGCTGTTCTGTCCAAGAACTTCGCCGACCGCTTCCTTGGCCCCCTGCCGGGCAGAGGCAGGACGACTCCCGCATTCGGCCGACGACGCGACACTTCGTGGAAGGGCCCCGCCGCTCGTCACGCGCCTTCCACGAAGGCGGCGAGGGCTGGACGCGACGGAGGCCCTCCTGTAAATACGACTGGTTAGACCGTTTGCGGCGCACAATAGGGTATCGAACCAAGAGGCTGAGAAGCCGACGAGACGAATCGAGTCGTGTGGCCCTTCGCGCTCTTCTATTTGCTCCGCTGGCGACTGTTTGAAGCACGTCGGTGCGCACAGCGGGATACGTTGCACAAGAAAATCGCGTTGTTAGTTTCTCAGCTTTCTAGATTCTGTCATTTACATTTGTGTATTAATGTGAACAAAAGTGAATATGTGAAGCGACTGCGAAAATACCAATTAAGAGACAATCAATGACAACCTTTGTAATAGAAGACGGAACTTACTTGTAATGTGTGCGGTCACCAGCATTACATTTTGTTTTTCAGTGTACAATTAACGGCAATACAAGCCCCTGAAACGACTGCTGGGGAGACTACCAGTGATATCGGAATGGGGAAGTTCGGTTGATTAATGCCTGTTTTGATAAGACTACTTTACAGCGCGGGGTTTAGATTTATCTAAATCATGCAATACCTCAAATATTCTATATCCCATTTCTTGCTTGATGATAAGTTTCAATACCACGTACGCGATAACAAAATAATATTGGAGGTAAAATTCAGTTAATTTTGGTTAGAACAAATGTCAGAGGGAACATTCAAGATTTATACTGTTTTGGAGTATAGAAATAGGATTTGGAGTATTTTAGTGTAAAAGTCTTGTGGTGCGTACATGGTGATAAGATACATCATTCCTTTTGAAGAAATAGGCCTACAGATAAATCCCACAGGAAATTTTTAAATAATTATTGAAAGAAATTATTAAGATATTCATCTATCTGTATGTAATATTTTCTTCAAGATCTGGGTAATAATCCGTGCGGCAAATTCACACAGGTGAAACGTATTTCAAGTAATACGTTTTGCTGGAGGCTAATACCGCTAAGGATGAAAACAGTAGTGAACCCACGATGTTGAGACACAACTCATTTGTTTTGTAATAACCCACAGTCAAATGAATAGAAATGCAAATGCATTTCCATATATTGCACTCTTCCAAAGAAAATTCTTGCAACAGAGCCCATTGATACGAGCATCGCACCACGGCTGCCTACTACCCGTACCCGAAGCATCTGCTGCATAAATATTTCAGTCGCCTCCAAGATACAGCCCGGCCGTTCCATTACACTTTTTTCGAGTTAAAATGACACCAACGCCCGCCATCGCGCGGTCGAGGGAGGGGCGGTTGCCGGAAGCATCTCGCAGCGTTATATAAATCCTCAGAGACCGAAAACTTGCGTCGTAATGTTCTTTACCGCACCCGTAACTTGGCGAGCCGTGTCCGTATTTTCATTTTTTTTTCTCCTCCTCTTCCCTCGACCGCCATCTTCTCCGTAACTGAGTATCATTTCGCCCAATTTCTGGCGTGTTTTCGCATGCGGGCTAGCCGGAGGCGCCTGCTGTGCCGCTCTGCTCCATCTCTCCCCGCCCGCGCGGCTCCCCTCGCCCTTGCATCGCTCCACTCCGCCTCCTCCTCGACCTGCCCTGCTTCGCCCCGCGGCATCCCGTCATGCCCCGCCCAGTCCCATACGACACGACCGACCGTGCACTACGACGCTCATCACACTTCCCCGCTCCGCTCCACCTGCCATCATTGTGCCTCGCCCCACATCACTGCACCCGTATCACCCCATTACGCTCTGCCCCATCCTGTTCCGTCCTGCCTCGCAGTGCCGTCGCGCTCCGCT